CATGTACCCACTATCTCTATAGAGAAATGATTGGTTCTCTCCGACATGTTTCTTGCCAGTGTACTAACTGTTTCTGAAATGTCTCTCTTACTAATAAGTTTTTTTTCTTACCAATTTGTGAAGTGATTGGTTCACTTGAGCACCCTCTCACAAGCTTGTCACTTGAGGGCTCAATAACAACTGATGGTGAAACTCCCAGGAAGACGCTGAAAGCCCTAAGCAATTCAAGTCTAGGACCTGGTGGTGGTTCTGGTGGAACTGTACTTTTGTTCTTGCGCACACTTGATATAGCAACGTCTGCGATTCTCTCTAGTATTGGAGGAAATGGTAGTCTAAAAGGAGGTGGTGGAGGAAGTGGTGGAAGGATTCATTTTCATTGGTCAGACATTCCTACTGGTGATGTCTATCATCACATTGCCAAAGTAGAGGGAAGAGTTTATGTAAGGTTTGTTATATGAAGTTCATACACAACGCACTGCACTCTTTTTGAATCTTTTTTGATACACAATTCAGTCTGTTGTTATAATATAGCATTTAAATTTCTCTTCTAAATGCGTTATGAACCATTATATCTGATTTCTAAAATTAATTGCAGGGGAGGGTTGGGTGTCAGTGAAGATAACGTTGGAGAGGCAGGAACTTTGACTGGTAAAGCTTGTCCACAAGGGCTCTATGGTCTATATTGCGAGGTAGTGTTGAGCTTTCGTATGCGTTATTGTTTCTGTTCATCAAAACATTTTTGGTTTTACTTAAACTCTATTCCGTTGGTTTAACACGCTTCAACCATCTTGATGTTTCAATATTCTATAGGAATGTCCAGCTGGAACTTATAAGAATGTTACTGGATCTGATAAAGCACTTTGTCATCTTTGTCCGGCAAATGATCTTCCCCATCGTGCTCTATATGTCACTGTTCGAGGTACTTTTGTATAAGAAACAGTGATTGGTCTATGACCTTGTTTGTTATTATCTTCAACTTTAAAAGAATGGAAATACCTAAGCTAATGAGGGATATTGATTTTCGGTGTTTTCCCTGTCATTGTTTGTTATTATCCCCAGTGTGTCTGATACATAAACTTTGTTGTGTTTTACTTGTTTCGTTACAGGTGGTGTTGCAGAAACTCCTTGTCCATATCAATGCATTTCGGATAGATACCACATGCCACACTGTTATACCACACTTGAAGAGTTAATATACACATTTGGTGGGCCCTGGTTGTTTGGTATTCTTTTAGTAGTTGTGCTCCTTCTACTAGCACTCGTTTTTAGCGTCGCGCGAATGAAATTTGTTAGTGGCGAGGAGGTACACGGGGCTGCCCCAACCCATCATGGCTCTCAAATTGATCACTCATTCCCATTCCTTGAGTCATTGAACGAGGTTTGCGTAGTCTATCTTTTATCTTGAGTCCCTTCAATCGCTGCTGATTTTACTTGTAGAAGTTAAATCCATCTGAATGAATTTAGTTGAAGGGAGATATCATGTTAATGGAACATAACAATTGACAACATAGAGTGTGGTTGTTGTTATTAGAGGGTCCTGTTGACACATAAATCTGGAAATGGCTAATTGTAAGAAAGAATGAATTAATCTTAAATATAGGTTTTGTTATCTTGATTTAGCAGGTTAAATACAATTATCAAGGCACTATGTTTTGGTAGGCTTTAGCAATAATCAATCTCTACACCTTAAATCTGCGTCTCAGTTGCCAAACTAGTTCCCTTCAACATACAATTTTTTTTTTCAGATGCTCCTTTTACAGTTAATTTATTTGTGTTATCTTATTCAGGTGATGGAGACGAGCAGAGTGGAGGAATCACAGGGCCACATGCATCGGATCTATTTCTTAGGTCCTAATACTTTTAGTGAACCTTGGCATCTTTCTCATACTCCCCCAGATGAAATAAAGGAGATTGTGTAAGTTAGTTATTAGCTGTTGAGTTTTATCTTTGACATTAATTTGTTCATTCCTGAAAGTTGTTTATGAAATACCTTATGCTTTGGTCTCCCAATTTAATTTGTTTTCGTCAGGTACGAGGCTGCGTTTAATGGATTTGTTGATGAGATCAATGTTATAGCTGCATATCAGTGGTGGGAGGGTGCAATTTACATTGTGCTTTCAGTTCTTGTCTATCCTCTTGGGTGGTCATGGCAGCAATCACGCCGGAGGCTGAAATTTCAGAAACTCCGTGACTTTGTTCGGTCAGAGTATGACCATTCTTGTCTACGCTCTTGTCGTTCAAGGGCATTATATGAGGGGCTAAAGGTACATATTAATCTATTGGCCAATGCACTCTACTTAGTACCTTTATATCATTGTAAAAAACTTAGCAAGAAAGAGAAAGGGCTAATCATAGTTTATGTGCAAAAAAGAGGGTCAGTCATTATAGTTCTAACAGGATCTGAGTCTGCAAGTTGCATACGCTTTCATGTCACCTTGACACATATTGGTTCACTTTTTTTTGTTAACCTTACTTGGTTCCATTTCAATGTTTACAAATGGGGGAAAAAGGATTATGGTAGAAAAATTATGGGAATTTTTGATGTGAATGTACAGGTGGCTGCTACCCCTGATTTAATGTTAGCTCATCTAGATTTCTTCCTTGGTGGCGATGAAAAGAGAAATGATCTTCCTCCTCCGGTTCATCAAAGATTGCCAATGCCTTTAATTTTTGGAGGCGATGGAAGTTACATGGCCTACTACTCACTCCAAAGTGACGATATTCTGACGAGTCTGTTGAGCCAGGTCAGTTTGTTATTTCATATAGACCGATCTGTGTGGCGTGGTCTTTTTTTTTTAGAGGAATTGAGTGCTAATGACTGCATGTCATAATTAATTTATCCCCTTTTTATAGTTGGTCCCACCAACCACTTGGTACCGCTTTGTCGCTGGTCTGAACGCTCAGCTGCGTCTAGTTCAGCAAGGGAAACTAAGGTCCACGTTTCGCTCAGTTATGAGATGGATTGAAACTCATGGAAACCCTGCTTTAAAAAGACATGGTGTACGTGTGGACCTAGCTAGGTTTCAGGCATCACCTTCGTTGTATTGCCACTATGGAATCCTTGTTCACACCATTGTAGATGAAGTGGCATCAACAAGAAGTGTTGATGAAACAGAACAACAACATTCATGGTTAGATATTTCACTTCGATTCTCTCTGCTTTTTATTTTCCAAGTACATATGCGAAAGATCCAGACGTTTTTTGAGTTTTGATTATGCAGGGGTGTACAAATTGAAAACTCCTCCGGTGATTTGAAGGAGAATTTGCATCTCACACAACCCTTAAGAAGCGCAGTTAACCATGTGAGGCATCGAGACTGTGGAGAAATCATAGACATCGGTAGCTTACAATTTCTCAAAGAAGAAAAAGATGTCCTTTCTCTTATCTCCTTCTTGATTCATAACACAAAACCTGTTGGCCATCAGGTAAAGCCTCCCTGCGACTTCATCGTTGCTTCGAACATGTTGCCTTTTTTTCTTACTACTGAAGGTTTGAAATCCGTAATTTTCCCTGGTGTTGACAGGATCTGGTCGGTTTGGTTATCTCTGTGCTACTCCTTGGAGATGCCACTCTAATGTTACTCACGCTGCTCCAACTTTACTCGATATCTATGCTGGCTGTTTTTCTCGCTTTGTTTATTTTACCTCTCAGCATCATTTTTCCATTCCCTGCCGGAGTCAGTGCTTTGTTTAGCCACGGACCAAGGCGCTCCGCTGGCCGCACTCGCGTTTATGCATTGTGGAACCTCACATCCCTGGTCAATGTCGTAAGTACTTCTCTCTCTCTTTATGCAAATGAATCGACCTTGTATGGTTTCTGCAATCTACTCTTTACATAATTAAAATCCTTTACTTGCCTGGTGGTTTTCCGCAGTTTGTTGCGTTTCTGTGTGGATATATTCACTATCATGGCTCATCAGCTGGGAAAAAGATTCCGTATCTCCAGCCATGGAACATTAGCATGTGAGAAAGACATTCAAACTCAAAACCTAACAACACATTCCTTCTTGCATCATCAATTAACCTTTTACATATTCGGGTTTTTTTTTTTTTTGCAGGGACGAGAATGAATGGTGGATATTCCCGGTCGCTTTGCTTCTGTGCAAAGTCTTACAGTCCCAACTAGTGAACTGGCACGTTGCGAACCTCGAGATACAAGATTACTCCTTGTACAGTGATGACTCTGAGCTGTTCTGGCAGTCGTAACGACACGAACCAAAACCATAATTAATAGTAAAACACGGTGGAGGAAGCTGGTTTTTTGAAAGGCTGTCTTTCTGGTTTGTGCACAAGCTGATTCAAAGATTTTTGAGGTGAATATAAGCTAACTCTTAGGATAAGTAGGAAAAAGAATAATCCTGAAAGATCGGGAGAATTATAAAGCACACGGGCTTTTATTTGATTCCCACACCAAAATCCATCTTTTTGTTTTTCTTTTTTTGTTAAACACTGATGGGTCTCTTCGATGATCCGTACTGGGATTTTTGTTTTACCGGTTTAAATGATGTCTGTCATCACTACAAATATTGTGTTTCTATTGGTTTGGTAATTGTGTTTATGCGCTCTTGTTGTCTCTCTTCTTCCTGCTTTAATATACATCATACATTATACAAAACACATGTTGCGGAACACGAAGAATGCAGTAGCGCAATACTTTCGGTCCAGGTTCGTAACCAATATGGCTTAAAACGCACCAGATTCCTAAAATGGCCTGACCACAAGAGTTAAAAGTTCCAAACAAAATCGTGCTGAGATTTCAACTTGACAATTTTGAGGTAACTTTGTTTTCTCCTAACCAATTTTAGATGCTGAAACAAGAACCGGATCTGAGAAGGAGTCTCTCCAACCACACAACCCCAAAGAAGCTGCACATGAAAGACACACAAACACAGCGACAAAGAAGATCAATGCACAGTCTTGTTTCCATTAAGCTAAAGATCATAAGCGGATAACGATTATCCCTCCTGTATGTATGAATAAGAGTAGAGTACCTGACAGAGTCACTCTTTGTTTAGTACTTTAGGGACTTTTAAATATGTACCCTCAAAGCTTGGAATGGAATCTCTTATACCGTCCCTGTTTGAAGGAATATAAAAAAAAAAAAATTCAACTTTAGTCGATGACTTTCATCTTAAAACCGGAATCATTCTATTATTCCAGATGGAGAAAACTGTATGAAGATCAAACCTGTTCTCAAATGTTTCGGGAGCATCCTCTCGCAAATTTCCACCTTCCATTTCTGCAAGTTAATTTTGAGATCAGCAAGGATCAAGACATTAAAACAGGCAGTTATCTTCGTGATTGCCAACAAAACGGATCAAAATCGGTAACTAGGCCTCTTATTACAGTAAAAACCATATGCCTTGTCAGATTTTACCAAGAGTATGTGCTTAGGATACAAAGACTTATAAGTCAAGGCCTAATCTACCATCAACTAAACACAAGATCATTGCAACAAATCTTATATAGCTAGTTTTGCCATTGATATTAGAAAACTCCAACAGGTAGCCCTTATTTCTTACTCTCACAAGTTAGCTTCACCCAGTTTATGAGACGAAACTCAGAAAATGCTTCATCTTTTTTTTTTCACTCTTATATTGATGTTTCATATGAGCAAAAAGTGTGATTCACCTAAAGAAGAACCCAATACACGAAACTAAAGAAGAGAGTTGTGTAATGTGTCAGACCTGCTCTAATTGCTGGCTCCACACTGTTGACATCAACTTTTTGAAGCTGGCCAAACCTGCATTTTTCACCAATCAAGAACAATTTGGTTCTTTTTAGGTTCCAAGGCATAACCATGGAAGCCAATTTCGACAAGAAAATAACTTTACAGAATCGTAATTATGCAATTGTGAAAGGAACACAAGACGAGGAACAATAATTACCAGTCGATGACTTGACGAATTTTAGGTCCACATTCCTCAATCT